GACTGCAATCCAAAAAATACAAGAATCTCTAAAACTCAACAATAAAAATCCTTGATTTTTAAAAAAGGCCAAAGCCTTTAATAGGCATCTCATCAAAGACAGATGCATATACAGATGGCAAATAGGCATATGAAAAGGTGTTCCACATAATATGTCCATGAGATACTACCACTTACCTTTAGAATGCCAAAATTCAGAAACTGACGGGGCCAGCACTGTGGCGCAGCCTGGCCTGAAGTGCTGGCATCCCATATGGGTGCCGGTTCGAAACCAGGCTGCTCCTCTTCCAATCTAGCTCTCTGCTATAGCCTGGGAAAGCAGTAGAAGATGGCCCAAGTCCTTGGGCCCCTGCACCTGTGTGGGAGACCCGGAAGAAGCTCCTGGCTCCTGGCTTCGGATTGACACAGCTCTGGCCGTTGCAGCCAACTGGGGAGTGAACCATCAGATGGAAGACCTCTCTCTCTGCCTCTCCTCTCTCTGTGTAACTCTGACTTTCAAATAAATAAATCTTTAAAAAAAAAAAAAGAACACTGACAACCCCAAATGTTGGCAAGGGTGTGGAGCAACAGTAACTCTCATTCACTGCTGATGGGAATGCACAGTACAGCCAAGCTGGAAGACCATTTGGTGGTTTCTTACAAAACTAACTACACTTTCACCAGCTATCACACTCCTTGCATTTATCCATAGGAATTTAAAACATAAGCCCTCACAAAAACTTGCATATGAATGTTTATGTCAGCTTTACTCATAACTGCCAAAACTTGCAGGCAACCACTATGTCTTGTAGTAAATGAACAAACTATAATACATTCAGATTTAGAATTATTATTAAGTCAAGGGATGGGTTATCAAATCATAACAAAACACAGAGGAAACTTAGATGCATATTACTACTAAGTAAAAGAAGCCAATCTGAAAAGGCTGTGTACTGTATGATTCCAACTATATGACATGCTGGAAAAGGCGAAACTATGGAGACAGCAAATAGATGAGTGGCCACCAGGAACTGGGTGGTGCAGGAGAGATGAACAGGAGGGGCACAGAGGATTTTTTAATGTAGTGAAATTGTTCTATATGTTACTCTAATAATGGATGCATATTATTAAATGTTTTCCAAACCTACAAATGTACAATGCCAATAGCGAACCCTAATGTAAACTATAGACTTTGGGTGATTATGCTGTGCCAACATGGATTTATCAATTTTTTTAAAAAAAAAATATTTATTTATTTTTTTGAAAGTCACAGTTACACAGAGAGAGGAGAGGGGGAGGGAGAGGAAGGGGGTGGGGAGGGTTGCAACGCCGACCGGCGCAGATCTGAAGCCAGGAGCCCAGAACTTCTTCCAGGTCTCCCATGCAGGTGCAGGGGCCCAAGGACTTGGGCCATCTTCCACTGCTTTCCCAGGCCATAGCAGAGAGTAGAGAGCTGGATCAGAAGTGGAGCAGCCAGGACTCAATCTGGCGCCCATATGGGATGCCAGCACTGCAGGCAGCAGCTTTACCTGCTACGCCACAGCGCTGGCCCTAGATTCATTAATTATTAACACATATACTATTCTGGTGTGGGATGCTGGTAACGTGGGAGGCTCTGTATTTGAAGAGACAGAGAGTTTCTACTGCTAGAGTGCCAATAGAAAGCAGGATAAAATATAGGTAATTATCAAAGAAATAAAAATAAGTTTATGAGAAAACAGATATAAAATATTCTTATTTTGGTGCAAAATTTTTATAAATTCATTGTTTTTTCAAAAATGTATTTTCCATGAACTTTTTGAAGATCCCTTATATAGGAAAAAAAATGGCCAATCTCTCTCTTCATCAAATAAGTATAAAATATAAATTATACTTTTAATTTTGTTAAAAAAAAAAAGTAAAACTTGAAATTGTTGGGGCCAGTGCTGTGGTGTAGCAGGTAAGGCCACCGCCTGCAATGCCAGCATTCCATATGGCTACTGGTTCAAGTTCTGGCTGCTCCACTTCTGATCCAGCTCTCTGTTATAGCCTGGGAAAGCAGTAGAGGATAGTTCAAGTCCTTGGGCCCTTGCACCCACGTGGGAGACCCCGAAGAAGCTCCTGGCTCCTGGATTCAGATCAGTGCAGCTCTGGTCATTGTGGCCATCTGGGGAGTGAACCATCAGATGGAAGACCTCTCTCTCTCTCTGCCTTTGCCTCTCTGTAACTCTGCCTTTCAAATAAATCAATCTTTTAAAAAAAAGGTGATCCAAAATAGAAGGCCAGAGTCATATGAAAGAAAATGCAGAAAAAAAAAAAAAGTAAATCTAAACAAATGCCAACTTTAAAAAAATATTTTGTGTAGTTAAAAACAGAATTAAAATATATAATAAAATATAATATTAAAAAAGTAAGAAACAAAAATGTTGTAAGATCCCTTTGCTGTTGAATAAAAGGCTAAAAGTATTTACTTTAGATTTTGTGGAGCTGAATAGATGTTAAAATTTCTGGGAGAACTATTAAAAAGAAGAAACAGAGACTATAACTGCCAAAGCTAGTAAAGAAAAAGAAAAGAAATGAGAAAAAACTAACCAATATAAATAAATATATAACCAATATAAATAAATATAAAACTAACCAACCAATATAAAAAGAAGCAAGAAGGGATAGAAAAAGAAACATTCAAAAGGTGGGACAAACAGAAAGCAGAAAACAATGTAGATGAATAATAAATATACTAGAAATAGTTGCTTTTGGAAAATTAGCATGAGTTTATGGTTCCCTCTTTCAAAAATCAATCTGAGGCCGGTGCTGCAGCTCACCTGGCTAATCCTCTGCCTGTGGCGCCAACACTCCGGGTTCTAGTCCCGGTTGGGGTGCCAGATTCTGTCCCGGTTGCTCCTCTTCCAGTCCAGCTCTCCACTGTGGCACGGGAAGGCAGTGGAGGATGGCCCAAGTGCTTGGGCCCTGCACCCCATGGGAGACCAGGAAGAAGCACCTGGCTCCTGGCTTCAGATTGGCCCAGCACGTCGGCCAGCTGTAGCGGCCACTTGGGGTAGTGAACCAACAGAAGGAAGACCTTTCTCTCTGTCTCTCACTGTCTAACTCTGCCTGTAAAAAAAAAAAAAAAAAAAAAAAAAAAATCAATCTGGAAAAGCTATAGCAACAAAAGAGAAAGATGGATTCCAGAAAGCTAACACTAAGAAGCAGAAAAATTCTTGTGAAACTTAAGCTGTATTAAACTGGTGTGTGTTATGCAGCTGGATAGCTGAAGTCAACAGGGCAAAGTACAACTTGAGGCAGCAATAAAAAAGAGGACAGAGTAGATAAAAACAACTGGGGTCAGCTTTGTGGTATACAGATTGGGCAGCCACCTGCAATGCTAGCTGTCCACTTACCATCCAGCTCCCTGCTAATAGCCTGAGAAAGGCAGAAGATGGCGCAAGTAGAAGACCATGATGAAGCTGCAGGCATTTGGTGTCAGCCTGGCCCAACCCAGCCATTGTGGCCATTTGGAGAGTGAACCAGCGGATGGAAGACCTCTCTCCTTTCTCTTTGTAACTGCCTTTCAAATAAATAAATATATCTTTTTAAAAAACCATATTTTAGGATGTATTCTTTCTTCTCTCCTCCTTATCACAGCAACATGATTTCTTTTCTTTTTTTTTTTTTTTTTTTGACAGGCAGAGTGGACAGTGAGAGAGAGAGACAGCGAGAAAGGTCTTCCTTTGCCGTTGGTTCACCCTCCAATGGCTGCTGCGGCCGGCGCGCTGCGGCCGGCGCACTGCGCTGATCCGATGTCAGGAGCCAGGTGCTTCTCCTGGTCTCCCATGGGGTGCAGGGCCCAAGCACTTGGGCCATCCTCCACTGCACTCCCTGGCCACAGCAGAGAGCTGGCCTGGAAGAGGGGCAACCGGGACAGAATCCGGCGCCCCGACCGGGACTAGAACCCGGTGTGCTGGCGCCGCTAGTCGGAGGATTAGCCTAGTGAGCCGCAGCGCCAGCCAACAATTTCTTGCCCCTTCATTTCAGACTCTGGCTGCTATCCATTAGATAAATATCAGGGCAATGGGAAAGTCGAGCCAGCTGAGCAGTTGCACTGCTTTAACAGTTGCAGACCAATCAACTGCCCTCAAGCATTCTACTTCCTCTGGCCTTCCTCTCCAAATTGTAAGGAGATGGCCTCATTGCAATTCTGTTTTGACCAGGGGGATCAGTTTCTGGTGTTTGTCTTTCAAAAAACTTTAAGTAATAAATATGTGCATATGCTTTACTGTTTCTGGTGTCACAGAACATCTCTACCAGAACAGGGTTAGAGACAGAAAATAAAAAGAACTTTACAACTTTCAAAGATTTGGGGAAGCAGGATATTGAAAATGGATGTAAAGGGATTACATAAATAAGACCAGTGTCTGCAAATAATAATTGATAGAATTAAAAAGGAGAGAATGATCCTACATGGGAAGCAGGAGACACAGCAGACTCATAGAATGGCAAATGCCCTAAACAGCATTCTGGCCTCAGAATCAGCCCCTAAGGCTTTCAGATCTGGCTAAAAAGCCCATGAGAATTTCACAGGCATGGAAAGCCAAGACACTGTGGCAAAAAAAAAAATTACCTAAATGAAAGATCTCTGTGAGTGAGATCCCAGCGGAAAGTATGGCCATCAAAGAAGGCAGTACCTTTCTCTGAAGGGAGGCAAAAACCTCCACTTTGAATATGGCCTTGTCTAAACAAGATCGGAGTTGGTGAACTCAAGAGGCTTCCACAGTCTTGGCAGCTCATGACAAGAGCCTCGGGTGATTACTGATGTCATAAATAAGAGTGTCAATTGTTAAATCAACGGGAGTCACTGTGCACCTGCTCCCCATGTAGGACCTCTGTCCTTAATGTGTTGTACTATGCAAATTAAGAGTAAAACTACTACCCAAAAAAAGTATATAATTTCTCTTAAAAATACATTTTACTTACATAAAGATAATTTTAAAATACGACAACTGCTTTCAATATTTTAAAGATTAGTGGCCCAAATAACCCATTTACCTTAAGAGATGAGCTTATAATAACAGTGGTTGTCCATTTTATCTTTTCTTTTCCACCACTTTCAGCCATCTGTTTGTCTTTTGATCAACTCAGCTTCTAAAAGGTGTACAATCTAAGAAAATTAAGAGCAAAAAGAATACATAAAAATATTTGGTTAATAAAGACAAAAATAAAACTAGGGTAATGGAGACATCTTAAATAATAGTTGAATATAAAAATTTGACTATGTTTTGAAAATTTGAATGTATTTATTATGCTATTAATAATTATGAAAAACAACAAACAGTTCACACTGCAGAACACTAACTTATGGAAAGAGAACTGTGTCAAAAATTGTGAAAAGTCTAAGGTTTTATCCTATTTTCAAGCTAAAAAGCTAGCCTGACAGCTTCATGGATACAGACAAAAGACACAAGCCTCAGAGACAAAGGGCATTTTACTCATGCATAGCAAGAGCAGTATGGTCCATGTATTGCACTAGTTCCCAAGCCAGCTGCCACAGGGTGATAGGACAAAGTCCAGGTGACATTTGTATATACACTGGGTTGTTACAGGAAAAGAATCCAAGTTAGGAAACTCCAATATTTTAGTAGCAAACTTGCCTTCTAAACTGGAAGGAAATACTGTATCTTACAAAGCTATCTGCTATACAAGCATCCTTGAAAAGATAGTCCAGGGGTGGTACCTGAATATCTGCATTTTTAAAAAAGATTTATTTATTTGAAAGGCAGAGTTATATAAAGGGAAAGAGATCTTCCATCTGCTGGTTCACTCCCCAAATGGCTGCAATAGCCACAGCTGGGCCGGTCCAAAGCCAGGAGCCAGAAGCTTCCTCCAGGTCTCCCATGTGGGTGCAGGGGTCCAAAGACTTGGACCATCTTCTCTTGCTTTCCCAGGCACATTAGCAGGGAGTCAGATCAGAAGTGGAGCAGCTGGGACTCGAACTGGCACCCACATGGGGTGCTGGCATTGCAGGCAGCAGCTTTACCCACTAGTCTATAATGCCAGCCCCTCAGGTAATTTTTGATACATACAAATTATTACTTCCAAATGTATAAATCTTTTAATTTATGCTTAGTGCTTTCTGTTTCTTATTTAAGAAATCCTCACTTGGTGCCGGCATTGTGGCACAGCAGGTAAAGCTGCTGCCTTTAACACCAGCATCCCCTACGGGCACCAGTTCTTGTCTTCGCTGATCCACCTCTGATTCAGATCTCTGCTAATGGCCTGGGAAAAGCAGCAGAAGACAGCCCAAATGTTTGGGCCCCTTCCACCCATGAGGGAGAGCTGGATGAAGCTTCCAGGTTCCTGGCTTTGGCCTGGCTCAGTGCTGTCTATTGTGACCATCTGGGGAGCGAGCCAACAGATAGAAGATCTCTCTCTCTTTCTCTGTCTCTTTCAAAATAAGTAAAAATAAAATCTTTTTGAGAAAAAAATATTATTCTAAACTTTTATAAAAAAAGAAATCTTCGGCTGGTGCAGTGGCTCACTTGGCTAATCCTCCCCCTGTGGCGCCGGCACCCCAGGTTCTAGTCCCGGTTGGGGTGCTGGATTCTGTCCTGGTTGCTCCTCTTCCAGTCCAGCTCTGTGCTATGGCCCGGGAGGGCAGCGGATGGAAGACCTCTCTCTCTCTCTCTCTCTGCTTCTCCTCTCTCTGTGTAACTCTGACTTTCAAATAAAATAAATAAATCTTTTTTAAAAAAGTCTTCATATCTTCATGGGAAGTCTTTCTACTTTATTCTCTTTTTTTTAAAGATTTATTTATTTATTTGTTTGAAAGGCAGAATTACAGAGATGCAGAGGCAGTGAGAGGTCTTCCATCTGTTGGTTCACTCCTCAGATGGATGCAATGGCTGGAGCTGTGCCGATCCGAAGCCAGGAGCCAGGAGCTTCCTCCAGGTCTCCCAGGTGGGTGCAGGGGCCCAAGGACCTAGGCCATCTTCTGCTTTCCCAGGCCATTGCAGAAAGCTGGATCTGAAGTGGAGTAGCTGGGACTAGAACCGGTGCCTATATGGGATGCCGGCACAAGGTGGCAGCTTTACCAGCTATGCCACAGCACTGGCCCCTTTATTCACTAGTTTTACAGCCATTTGGGTGTCTTTTTTATTCCTAGAAATTTAGAATCACGTTAACTGCATAAAAAGAGCAACTGGAGGACTTTTTTTTTTAAAAAAAAAGATTTTAAATTACTGCATAGTGACAGAGAGGAGGAGACAGAAATGAGAGCGGGTGGTGAAGAGGAAGAGGAAGAGGGAGAGCAAGGGGGAGATTTTCCATCCACTGGTTTACTTCCCAAATGGCCACAACAGTTAGGGCTGGGCCACGCTGAAGCCAGAAGCCAGCGACTCCATTCTAGTCTCCCAATCAGGCGTCAGGAACTCAAGTACCATCATCTGTTGCTTCCCAGGTGCATTAGCAGGGAGCTATATCAGAAGCAAAGTAGAGAGGTAAACAGACGCTTAACCTACTGTATCTCAAATGCCTGCCCTTGGAGAGCTTTTTAAAATTAGAATGGCTTCTAATCTATAAAACAATTTGGAAAAAAAATTAACTGCTTATGTATCTATTTAGACCTTACTCTTGTATTTTCATTTAACATTTTTTTTTATTTGACAAATAGAGAGAGAGAGAGAGAGAGAGAGAAAGGTCTTCCTTCTGTTGGTTCACCTGCCAAATGGCTGCTAAGGAGGAACTAACTACACTGATCTGAAGCCAGGAGCCAGGTGCCCCTCCTGGTCTCCTATGTGGGTGCAGGGGGCCCAAGCACCTGGGCCATCCTCCACTGCCCTCCTGGGCCACAGCAGAGAGCTGGACTGAAAGAGGAGCAACCAGGACTAGAACCCAGTGCCCATATGGGATGCCGGCACTGCAGGCAGAGAACTAACCAAGTGAGCCATGGCACTAGCCCCTCATTTAACATTTTGTCATAAGCATTTTTCTTACATATTTTTCAAAAATGTGTAACAGTGGCACAATCTTCTGTCATGTGGATATACATTTGACCATTATCATTAGTAATTGACTCTGGACATATGATCTAGTCCCAAAGTTTTCCCATTAAAAATGATTTTAAAGTAGCATGGAATCATCCTTCAAAATCATACATCATATTCCTCCCATAATTAAAATCATTCAATGATACATCATGCCTACAGAAAAAAATCCAATCTTTGCTTTTCAGCCTAATGTCCTGCCATTCCCTCACATTTTACGTTTGCTTTAGTTATTCTGAACCTGTTGTCCTCCAATAAGACACGTTTTTCCACACCTTGTCTCTTTACATATTCTGACCAAAATGGTCCTCCCCCTCCTTGTCAACTTTACTTATTTTTAACAGTAAGCAGATTGTATGTACCTGCTCCCAAAAGCTTCCACTGCTCTCCAGACAATCAGGACTTTCCTTTTATGTTCATACAGTATCCCAAACATATCTCTATTACACCACTCATTAATATAGTTATATAATTTGGTGACACAGATGTATTCCCAATGAAGACTTCTCAATGAAAGCTGCTCAAACAGGCATTTTTGCTCACCTCTGTATCCCCAATTCCTGACAATTTTTCCAAATATAAGCAGTCAAAAGTAAGAGGCAAAATAAAGATCATAGCAAGTTGGGAACAAGTAAACAAAGTCCGGCTGAAAACAAAATGAGTTGAATACCATTAACACCGCAGAATTTTTGCCATATCTATTTGTCAGAGATCTGTTCTGCATAGATCAATCGAGCTGGCCTCCTCAATATGTCATGCTCCAGGAAACAAGGCCATGTCTCCTGAGTTCACCTGGTGAAAAGTTCTGATATATTCTAGGGTGTATTTAGGAAGAGATGAAGTTACATGATCTTTTCTGGCTCATACCTACCCACTCATTGTTTCTGACATGGAGTTGGCGGAGCCATCAACAAGAGATCAGCACATCTACAATGTCTTCTAGTTCTCTATATCTGGTTAAGCGGTAAAGAGTAAAAGAAACAGGACATTTTTATAGGCAAATATATGTGGTAGGTGTATAGATGGACCATTTACTTTCAAGGTAAGAAGTAAGGCATCCAAAGTATTCTGGTATATTCTGACTGATAATATGCTGAGTGATGGGAGGAGACGTTATAAGCAGATATGAGCAATATTTTTTTAAAAAGATTTATTTACTTGAAAGGTGGAGTTACATAGCGGGAGAGGCAGAGTGTGGGGAGCAGCCCGGACTGGACTGAGTTACTGGAATTAAGACTTATTCTATGCATCTGCTCTCCCACAATATGGCGCTGGGAGAGAAGTAAACAGCTTCCGCACAGCTGCCTCCAGTTCAACCAATAAACTGTAGGACTTGCTCCTGATTGGAGAGCAGCGTACTCGGCGTGTGGGCAGCCGAGTTGGGATTGGCGGAGGAGGACTATAAAGGAGGAGAGAGACGGCATGCACCAGGAACATCTAAGGGGAACAGAGCCGGCCGGCGGTGTGCCGCTCCCCTGCGGAAGTGGGGAATGTGGCCAGGGGGAACTGCCCTTCCACGGAGGTGGAAGGGATAGTAGCCAACCCGGGAAGAACCAGCAGCAAACCCGGGGAGGGCCGAGCAGACAGAAGAACAGCGCAGGGTCCTGTGTCGTTCCTCCACGAAGATGGGGAGTGACATAATGGTGCCGTGACTCGGATATGAAGCCTAGGCAGGGTTCAGTGTTGCTCCTCCACGAAGAGGGGGAGCGACAGCAGAGGCAGGGAGAGAGATCTTCCATCCTCTGGTTCACTCTCCAAATGGTCGCAATCGCTGGAGCTGGGCCAGTCCAAAGCCAGGATACGGGAGCTTCTTCTGGGTCGCCTTCATTGGTGCAGGAGGCCAAGGACTTGGGCCATCTTCCACTGCTTTCCCAGGCACATTAGCAGGAAACTGGATTGGAAATGGAGCAGCCAGGACTTGAACCAGTGCCTATATCAGACGCTGGCGCTACAGGTGGTGGTGGCTTAACCCACTTAGCCACAGTACCGGCCCCATGAAGAATACTTAAAAAAAAAAAAAAAAGATTTATTTATTTGAAAGTCAGAGTTACACAGAGAGAAGGAAAGGCAGAGTGAGAGAGTGAGAGAGTGAGAGAGTGAGAGAGAGAGAGAGAGAGAGAGAGAGAGAAAGAGAGAAAGAGAGAAAGAGAGAAAGAGAGAGGTCGGTCTTCCATCTGCTGGTTTACTCCCCAACTGGCCGCAATGGCTAGAGCTACACTGATCTGAAGCCAGGAGCCAAGAACCTCCTCCAGGTCTCCCATGCAGGCGCAGGGCTCCAGGCCTTGGGCCATCTTCCACCGCTTTTCCAGGCTGTAGCAGGGAACTGGATCAGAAGTGGAGCAGCCAGGACCCGAACTGGTGCCCATATGGGATGCTGGCACTGCAGGTGGTGGCTTTACCCGCTATGCCACAGTGCCGGCCCCAAGAATACTTTAAAAACCTGTATTATCAAAGAGAGATCTTTTATCCACTGGTTCACTTCAGTGATGGCCACAACAGCTAGGGTTGGGCCAAACTGAAGCCAGGAGCTTCATCTAAGTCTCCAATGTGGGTGGCAGGGACCCAAACACTTGGGCCATATTTTGCTCATTTTCAGAGGCCATCAGCAGGGAGCTGGATAAGCAGTGGGGCAACCAGGATACAAACTAGTGCCCATATGGGATGCTGGCATCCCAGGCGGTGGCTTTACCGACTATACCACAATGCCAGCCTTGGATGGAGGCTTCTTTTTATTGAGCTTAGCTGTTTGCAGTTACATTTGCAGATTTCCTCCTTAGCTGGGTTTAAGGTCTGCCATTGCAATTCTCTTATTTCAGTAGACTCTTGAAATTCTTATGCAAAGATTATTACTCAGAAGAGGAGTCATAGGCAATTCAGAATATTCATAGTTGGTTTTGTTAGTTAAGATAAGAAGGGAAAGGAAGATGCCTTCATTAAGGTAAAAATGAAATATGCCTTTATGAAGTGTACAATTTCCTGTCAGTTTCCTTCATTCCACATCTATGGAATAAGTGCACTGACTCCATTCTGACTACCTCCTGCTAACTGAGGGTGGAATAGGAGATTTTCGGAATGCAAAATTTTGACATAGGAAAATACATATTCCTTGGATCCCTCTCTAAGGGAGAGCTGGTAGCTTAACTGGTAGCTTAGAAGCAAGGTGGCTGGCGGCGGGGCGGACGGTTGTCTGCCGGCTGGCGGTCGCTGCGGCGGCTTCTAGGCCGTGAGCTTTCCCTTCCGCAGCCATGGACCGCCGCCGGCGCTGACAGACCCATGGAGAGTCGCAGTGTGCCTCCCGGGCCGTATCGGGCCACCAAGCTGTGGAATGAAGTCACCACATCTTTTCGAGCTGGAATGCCTCTAAGAAAACATAGGCAACACTTTAAAAAATATGGCAATTGTTTCACAGCAGGAGAAGCAGTGGATTGGCTTTATGAACTATTAAGAAATAATAACAATTTTGGTCCTGAAGTTACAAGGCAACAGACTATCCAACTATTGAGAAAATTTCTTAAGAATCATGTAATTGAAGATATCAAAGGCAGATGGGGATCAGAAAATCTTGATGACAACAATCAGCTATTCAGGTTTCCTGCAACTTCTCCACTTAAAACTCTTCCACGGAGGCATCCTGAATTGAGAAAAAACAGCATAGAGTACTTCCCCAGAGATAAAGATACAATTTTTAAATTACGAAACTTACCCCGCAGGACTCCAAAAAGGCAGGGATTACATTTTTCTCAGGAAAATACAGAAAAAATAAAGCATGAAATAATCAATGAAGATCAAGAAAACTCAATTAATAATAGAAAAATTAGCCAAGAAGATGTTGAAGAAGTTTGGAGATATATTATTCTGATCTATCTGCAAACGATTTTAGGCTTGCCATCCCTAGAAGAAGTCATAAATCCAAAACAAGTAATTCCTCAATATGTAATGTACAATATGGCCAATACAAGTAAGCATGGAGTAGTTATACTACAAGACAAATCAGATGACCTTCCTCATTGGGTATTATCCGCCATGAAGTGCCTAGCCAATTGGCCAAGAAGTAATGATATGAGTAATCCAACTTATGTTGGATTTGAACGAGATGTATTCAGAACAATTGCAGATTATTTTCTAGATCTTCCTGAACCTCTACTTACATTTGAATATTATGAGTTATTTGTAAACATTTTGGGTTTACTGCAACCTCATTTAGAGAGGGTGGCCATCAGTGCACTACAGTTATGTTGTTTGTTACTTCCCCCACCAAATCGGAGGAAACTTCAACTTTTAATGCGCATGGTTTCCAGAATGAGTCAAAATGTTGACATGCCCAAACTTCATGATGCAATGGGTACAAGATCATTGATGATACATACATTTTCACGGTGTGTGCTCTGCTGTGCTGAAGAAGTGGATCTTGATGAACTTCTCGCTGCAAGATTAGTTTCTTTCTTAATGGATCATCATCAGGAAATTCTTCAAGTACCGTCTTACTTACAGACTGCAGTGGAGAAACATCTTGACTACTTAAAAAAGGGCCATATTAAAAATCCTGGAGATGTACTAGTTGCTCCTTTGCCAACTTATTCTTACTGTAAGCAGATTAGTACTCAGGAATTTGATGAACAAAAAGTTTCTACCTCTCAAGCTGCAATTGCAGAACTTTTAGAGAATATTATTAAAGACAAAAGTTTACCTCTGAAGGAGAAAAGGAAAAAACTAAAACAATTTCAGAAGGAATATCCCATAATATATCAGAAGAGATTTCCAACCACAGAGAGTGAAGCAGCACTGTTTGGTGACAAACCTACAATCAAGCAACCAATGCTGATTTTAAGAAAACCAAAGCTTCGTAGTCTAAGATACTAACTGAAATAAAAATTATCCAATACTTGTGGAACTTTGATAAATGAAGCCATATCTGAGACTCTATTACAAAGGAAGCCTGGTATTAAAAAGCTATCCCTAAATAAATACATTCTGTGACAAGTGCCAGGATAGTTGTTGATCAGTGTGAGACTTCTGAGAAGCTACCAGATCTAAACTGAGAGAACATAACACTAAGTGATACCAAATATTTTGACCAGAAATGTTCATCAAGAATAAGCAGCAATTTTGTTTTTAAAGGAGAACTTACATGTACACATGCTGATGGACATTAGCTAACAAACCAGTTGTTTAGAGTTACTTCTTTATATTTGTACCTGTAAGAATGTGACAAATATCTGAAAGTTCAATGAATTCTCAACTATAAATGTTGCAGTCTCACACACTCTTTCTAGTTTTGCTATATTTATATGTGTATGCCTAAAATATGTCTAAATATTTTGTATTGCCTTTAGCATTCTCCAGCTACTTTGTTCATAATTTACTAGAAATTAGAGGATAAAATAAGTAAGGCAATCATGTGTTCAGTTCAAAAAATTTTTATTTATCAGTGCTATGTGCCTTTCATTGTTCCAGATATGTGAAGACAATGAAGCATATGAATCTCTTAAGGTATTTATTTTCTAATCAAGGGATATACCTATCAGCTTAAAATAACAGTACACTTACTAAAATGAGGGTATGAGGAATCCTTCAGTAAAGACTGACATCTATGATTATGAAACAGTTCTGTAAGCTAATGGGTCTCAAAGTAGTGTACCTGGGAGAATTTTATATGCTCAGGAACTACCTTATGCCAATTAAATGTGAATTTTAGGAGTATTAACTGGGTATTGGTACTTTACTAAAGCTGTAGGTGACTCCAGTATTCAACCAGCTTTGAGAATCAGTGTCCTAAGAAAATGTAAAGATAATGGCACACCAACTATTTTTCCATTGAAAGAAAGTGCCAAGTAGTATGCAGACCATTTTGTTTCCTGTTTCTTTATTTCTTTTTGACAGGTGGACAGAGAGAGAGAGAAAGGTCATCCTTTGCCGTTGGTTCACCCTCCAATGGCCGCCACGGCCAACGCACTGCGGCCGACACACCTCACTGATCCGAAGGCAGGAGCCAGGTGCTTCTCCTGGTCTCCTATGGGGTGCAGGGCCCAAGGACCTGGGCCATCCTCCATTGCACTCCCTGGCCACAGCAGAGAGCTGGCCTGGAAGAGGGGCAACTGGGACAGAATCCGGCGCCCCGACCGGGACTAGAACCCGGTGTGCCAGCACCACAGGCGGAGGATTAGCCAAGTGAGCCACAGCGCTGGCCAGACCTCTCTTCTTAACACAATATTCCTCAGTTTCCTACTTGGAAGAAAAATTTGCTTGATGTTTGTACTATTTTCACAAATTTTCTTTTACTTTTTACTCTAAGATTGTTATAAAATGTATATCTTAAGTTATAAAGAAATATATAATATCTACAATGTAATAGTTAATTTTTAATACTATTCTAATTTCTCATTGTAATTTCATACCATTGATTTGTAGAATAATATTCCATTTATTATTTTGCATAAAAAGTATGCACAAAGTGATAAATGTTACATTTAGCTCAGAAGGTTTGTCTGTAAAATTTTTGTACCAAATTAGAATTGTTTCCAATATGTTTGTATATTAAAACTTTGCCTGTTTAAAAAAAAAAAAAGAAGAAGAAGCAAGGTGGCTGCAATTAAGGACAATATAATTTCTAAAAAATATTTATCTATTTATTTGAAAGGCAGAGTTACAGAGAGGCAGAAGCAGAGAGAGAGAAAAAGAGAGAAAGTCTTCCATTCGCTGGTTCACTTCCTAAATGGCTGCACGGGGCAGAGTTGAGTTGATCCAAAGCCAGGAGCCAGGAGCTTCTTCCAGGTCTCCCACATGGGTTCAGGGGCCCAAGGACTTGGGCCATATTCTACTGCTTTCCCAGGCCATAGCAGAGAGTTGGATCAGAAGTGGAGCAGCTGGGACTCAAACCGGCGCCCATATGGGATGCTGGCACTGCAGGTGGTGGCTTTACCCACATCACAGCAACAGTCCCGAAGACAATTTTTTTTTTAAAGATTTATTTATTTATTTGAAAGGCAGAGTTACACAAAGAGAGAAGGAGAGGGAGGGAGAGAGAGGTCTTCTATTCGCTGGTTCACTCCCCAGTTGGCTGCAATGGCTGGAGCTGTGCTGATCTGAAGTCGAGCCAGAAGCCTCCTCCAGGTCTCCCACCCAGGTGCAGGGGCCCAAGGACTCACGCCATCCAGAGGACAATATAATTTTTACATTCACGTTTAGATTATCAGATAATATTGCTGACGTGTTTCCAAACAGCCGTAAGTGAACAGGTAACCTCTCTTTGTCCCATAAATGGCAACATGCAGTGAGGCTGACTGCCCAAGAATGAACAATTCTGCTTCCTGCAGCCCATCACAGGTGACTCCAATTGACCTCAGATGAGCTGATTGGCATTGGATGACAATGTCCAGGTTTTTGAAAAAAATACAGCATTGGGCATTTCTTTTTTTAGATTTTGAGTCAATACACTCAGTCTTAATCTGCTTCCTGATTACCAAGAAGTTGAAGAGCTATTTCAGATTTGACAACCTCGGTATGGGTGCTATATATAGATTACAGCATAAGGTTTGAGAATTCCAAGCATCATATCTAGTTACCTTATCTTTGAAATGGTGGCCCTCTGTAGAGGCTGAAGCTCTGGCAGTCCATTTTGAAAGTTATTATCAAGTATGCATACGAACCGTTTCTTTACAACCTCTCAAACTTATGTTTTAGTTTAGGGTTGACACCACTGACTGCATCTTAACTTCTAACCCCCCCTTCCCCTTTCTTTATATATAAAATACATGAAATGTGATAACATTAAACACATTAAGTAAATAATTTTTAAAAGCCCTGTGTTATGCATCTAGAGCTATGATTGGTGCATAAATGTCAAAGTGACCTGAGGAGGTGGAATTACACAAAGGTAATGGATGTGTTTAGACAGGTTCCACAGAAGCTGTCTTCTTGGTGATGGCTTTTCCCTATACCAAAATTTTGTGGTAGTAAGTTTCTGAGTACTTGGAATGAGTCAGGAGTGAGTGGGATGACTGTTGGTCTTTTCCTTGGGCACACACACTATCAACACACAAAGAGTTGGCAGCATTTCGCACAGAGGTTAAGACACTCAGGATGTCCACATCACATACTGGAGTACCTGAGTTCATTCCCTGGCTCTGCTTCCAAATCCAACTTCCTGCTAACACACACCTTGGAAAGCAGTAGGTGATGGCTCAAGTACCTGGGGTCCAGGCCACCCACATGGGGGAAGCAGACTGAGTTCTGGGATCCTGGCTTTTGCCAGGCCCAGTTCCACCTGAGCAGGCATTTGGGGAGTAAAGCAGTGGATATAAGATTTGTCTCTCAGTCTTTCAAATAAACAAAGATGCAGGTTCCTATCCAGCAGCCCATATCAGAAAGGTAGGGGGCAAAAGCAACTTCACACTGGAGAAACTTGATAAATACTACCTCAGGTAGGTGGTCAAGGCCTATATCAACAGTCACAAATCGTGCCAAGAGTGTGTATCCTTGATATGATGTAGTCTCCTTCTCAGTAGCCTATAATCCCAGTCTTAGCATGAGAAAAAAAATCAAACACATTCCAGTTTGAGGCTGTCCTACATATTATCTGACTAGCACTTCTCAAAGCACTTCAAGGTCATCAAAATAAAATAAGTCTGGGGGCCAGCGTTGTGGTGTAGCAGGTTAGGCTGCCATTCGCGATGCTGGCATCCCATATTGGAGTGCTGGTTGCAGCCCAGCAATGATCAGTTTCTGATAGACAGTCCAAGTGTTGGAGCCACCACTCTGCATGTGGAAGACCAGGATGCAGTTTCTAGGTCCTGGCTTCCACTTGGCCCAGACCTGGGTGTTGTGGCCATTTGGGGAATGAACCAGAGGATGAGAATCTGTCACTCTGCCTTTTAAACAAGTAAATAAATCTTTTGAGAAAAAAAGGTTAAGTCTGAAAAACTGTCACAGCAAGAGGAACCTAAGGAAACATTAAAACTACATGTACCTTGGTATCTTGGTTGGGAATTTGCAACAGAAAAAAAGAACACCAGGCAAAACCTAAGGAAATCTAAATAAACTATGGATTTCTTATACTCTGGTTTCTCTTCAGATTGTATAAATCTTTCGCCTTTTAAGGTGCTGTGGCGTACTGGGTGGAACTGCCACCTGCAGTGCGGCATCCATGTGGGCACCGGTTTGAGTCCCTGCTGCTCTACTTCTGATCCAGTTCTCTGCTGTGGCCTGAGAGGGCAGTAGAAGATGGCCCAGGTCCTTGGCCCACTGCACCACGTGAGAGACCCCAAAGAAGCTCCTGGCTCCTGGCTTCAGATCAGTGCAGCTCCAGCCATTGCAGCCATCTGGGGAGTGAACCAGCAGATGGAAGACCTCTTCCTCTTTCTCTCTCTCCCTGCCTCTGCCTCTCTGTAACTCTACCTTTCAAATAAAATAAATAAATCTTTAAAAATAAATAAACTATGGATTTCTTGCAATATTGTTTCACTAACAACAAATATACAACACCAAGATACTATTAATAGGGGAAACTGGATATAAAATATTAATAATAGGGGAAATGGAATATAGAATGTGTGAGAATACTCTGTATTATCTTCTCAGTATTTCTGTAAATCTTAAACATAAAGTCTATATTTAAAATCTTACTTCTGCTTCAAGGTCCACTAGAAATTTCGTCTCCTTCAAGAAACTATCCCTGATCCCCTTAAACTGAAACTTCTAATTCAGAATCTGTTTTACATACCTCTGTGGAGCACTTATCATATTTTGCCCAACATAACTGCTCATGTATTTCATTTCCCCTACTAAATCATAAACTTAATGTCAATCAAATCTATATTCTCCATGTTATTTAACACAAAAGTAGTTCACAGTAAAATTTAGAAACTAATCCAAATGAAAGTCATTTTCAGAGATGGTGAGTTAATATCTCCCAGGATGGTTTCATTCTACTTTTGAACAACTCTAATAATTACAAAGTTCTTCCTGCTGGGTTGAAACCAGCTGCTCTATAATTTCCTCATTTATTGCATGAATGAATGAATGACAAGTTAACTAGCTCCATGAGAGCAGGGACACCTGTTTTTACCTGATCCAGTAAGTACAAGCAGACGTTGAAAAAAACACTTGTTTCTGAATGAGTAAATAGTTAGATGACTGGGGAGGGGTCGTAACTTTTATCGCCCCTCCCCCACATAATTGCGTATATGCAAAGGGCTACCACTGAATACAGTAGTTGTTTTTTGGGGCACTTACTGGTATGCTATCTATGTATGCGTGTGTGTACATCAGTTTATCATCTCTATATATTCCTTTAAATATTCACAGTGCTAGTCACAGGTTTTATAAACCGTTTAACTAACCACAAGAGAAGTAAAGTAATTTTGCGCACTAATAAGTGAGAAAGGAATTATGGGCAGTGGATCCCCAAGAGTACACTGATCATGATTGGGAAAGAATCCAAAACTAGGGCTGGGGCAGCCAGGCTTCCCGGTTGCTCCCCCGGGGGAAACGCTGCTGGAGGAAAGCCACCCCAGAGCTATGGGACTTTGGGCAAATTACTTCAGCCAGCCTCCTTTCTCCTTTCAGAAGAAAAAGCCGGAACTCAATGGCCTTTTACGCCTTGGCTAGTTCTAAGGCCCTTTTGTACTGTTTTGTTTATTTTCTTGCACTACAGCGTGCTTTCAAATTTAAACAAGATTTGCATTGCACAACAATCTCCCGTAAACTGCTTTCTCTTCCTGTTCAGTTTCCTCCTTCAGGGAGCTTCAGCCTACAGTCACCCCCGTGGCCTCACTCAGTCTCTACTTTTTAGATCGTAACACAGCCTAAAGGCAATAAAATATAAATCTGCAGAACGCTCAACCGGCCTTCTGAAAAGTAAGTTTTACAGCCCTCGATGCAAGACCTGAGGCAACCCCTCTCCGCACCAAACTCAAGGGCAGAAAAGGGTGAGGAAGATCCTCCCCCCGCCGCAGCCAAGGATGAGGATTTGATCTTGCCAAGTCTGAGGGAAAACCAAACACGCTGGCAGGAGGAAGACAGAAAAACGTAGAGACGGGTCTTTCGTAGCCCCATCGGCAAAGCTGCGACATACCTGCTCCACAGGTCCTTGGAGGCAGCGCAACTGCTCCCAAGTTTCCAGAACCTTCCACGAGCAGCGAGAAGCCCACCCCGGGAACGAGAGCCCGGGCTTGGCCCAGGAACTCTCAAGCCGCGAAGCACCCTGGGCCTGCTGAGCTTCTGCGCAGCCGCAGACTGCACTTCCGGCCTCAAAGCATTGTGGGAACTGGTAAGTGGTTATGGCAAGCAAGCGTTTTTTCGTGTTACACTCGGTTAGCCGAAATTGAATTTTAACGATAATTCTCTAAATTTTAGACTAAGTTCTTCTTAGCATATCTGGTGTATGCAGCGGTGATCAGAATGGTAAAAAATTTTAAAGCAAGAAAAAGAAAAATCACTTGCCTAGAGCCTAATGCTTAGGTTAACAAAGTTTTTAATGTGTTTTGTTTTGTAAAACGTGTGTTCCTGGGTGTGGCAGAGGAGGGGGAAGTGCTCCAGAGAAAGTCACTGAGAATCCACTTGTAATAGGCGTTCTTCTCTGAGGTAACCATTTTGCAAGCTTGGATTTCATATAACTGATGTAATTAAAAGCAGGTGCACTGTTTTGCCGCTCGTGTTGGACGGTTTGCTAAGACAGCATAGGACAGAGCCTAAGAGTGAAGGCCCTATTCCAGCCACACCTTCTGAGCATATGAAGTCAAGGCACAGACTCAACGCTGGTGGAGGCCAGCGAAGTTTAGGGTCACCTTGGAAGGTAACCCTGGAAGTGGATTGGAAGTGGAGTAGCTCAGACTAGAATGGGCATTCTGGATATGATGTGAGTGTCCCAGGTGAGGCTTAACCTGCTGTGCCATGACAGCTGTCCCAGCCTCAAGGCTTTTGTGCCAACTTTTCTGTTTAAAGTCCTTCTTCCTGGGGCCAGCGCTGTGATGTAGCCAGTAAAGCTGCCGCCGTTGATGCCAACACCCCATATGGGTGCCTGTTGGAATCCTGGCTGCCCGACCCTGCTAATGCACTTGGGAAAGCAGTGGAAGATGGCCCTAGTGCTTGGGCCCCTGCACCTACGTGGGAGACTCAGAGGAAACTCCTGGCTTCAGCCAGGCCCAGTTCTAGCTATTGCAGCTATTTGGGGCATTAACCAGCAAATGGAAGACCTCTCTCTCTGTCTCTCCCTCTTTCTCTCTGTTACTCTGCCTTTCAAGTAAATAAAAATACAATTAATCTTTAAAAAAATTTTTAAAGTGCTTCTTCTCTCCTGCCAGCCCCCCAGATGTTTTCATGGCTCGCAAGCTCTCCTTTATTTTTATTTATTATTATTATTTTTTTGACAGGCAGAGTGGACAGTGAGAGAGACAGAGAGAAAGGTCTTCCTTTGCCGTTGGTTCATCCTCCAATGGCCGCCACGGCCAGCGCGCTGCGGCCGGCACACCACGCTGATCCGATGGGAGGAACCAGGTACTTATCCTGGTCTCCCATGGGGTGCAGGGCCCAAGCACTTGGGCCATCCTCCACTGCACTCCCTGGCCACAGCAGAGAGCTGGCCTGGAAGAGGGGCAACCGGGACAGAATCTGGTGCCCCGACCGGGACTAGAACCCGGTGTGCCGGCGCCACAAGGCGGAGGATTAGCCTAGTGAGCTGTGGTGCCGGCTCTAAGCTTTCCTTTATTTTAAAAAATGTTTAACTGATACTGATTGTACAGATTTATGGGGTATCATGTGATGCCTTGGTGTGGATGTATATATTCTATATTGTTCAAATCAAAAACTTATCTAGCTCTTCTGACATTTGTCATCTTCTTATGGTCAAAATATTCAAATTCTTCTCTTTCAGCTTTTTAAAAAATATACACTACATGTTGTTATCTGTAATAACAGAATTCTTTCTCCTATGTAAGTATAACTTAGTACATTAATTAACCTTTTCCCATCTCTCTATCCCTGCTACCCTTCCCATTCTCTAGTAACCACCATTCTACTCTCAACTTCTATGAGAGAATATTTTTAGATTCCGTGTATGAGTGAGACACACAAGTAAGTATTTATCTGTTACTAGCATATTCCACTTAATATAATGACCTCCAGTTCCATCTATGTAGTCAGAAATTATATAGTGTCATCTTTTTTATGACTGAATAGTTTTTTATTGTGTATATGTACCACATTTTCTTTATTCATTATCTATCAGTAGACACCTAGGTTGATTCCATTTCTTGGCTTAGGTGAATAATGTTGCAACACACACGGGAATTCAGATATCTCTTTCCCTCTTTTTTTTTTGTTTTTGTTTAAAGATTTATTTATTTGAGAGAGTTACAGACAGAGAGATGGAGAAACAGAGAAAGGGGTCTTCCATTTGCTGGTTCAAAACTCCCCAAATGTCCGCAATGGCTGGAGCTGGGCCGATCCACAGCCAGGAGCCAGCAGCTTCTTCCGGGTCTCCCACACAGGTGCAGGGGCCCAAGGAGATGAGCCATCTTCTGCTGCCAGAGAGAGAGCTGGATCAGAAGAGGAGCTCCTAGGACATGAACCAGTGCCATAGCAGAGAGCTGGATCAGAAGAGGAGCAGCCAGGACATGAACCGGCGCCCATTTGGATGCTACTGGTACTGCAGGTAGAAGCTTAGTCTACTATGCCACAGAACCAGCTGCAAGATATCTCTTTCACATACTGATTTTGTTTTCCTCAGACATACACCCAGTAGTACAATTACTGGGTCATATCATAGTTATGTTTTTAATTATAGAGGGAAATTCAGTATTGTTTTTCCAAAATGACTATACTAATTTGCACTTGCTCTAACAGTGTGCAAAGGTTTCCTTTTCTCCACATCCTCTCTACCACTTTTTTTTTTTTTTAAAGATTTTTATTTATTTATTTGAGAGGTAGAGTTACAGACAGAGAGAGAGAGAAATGGAGAGAAAGGTCTTCCATTCCCTGGTTCACTCCCCAGATGTCTGCAACGGCCGGAGCTGGGCCATTCTGAAGCCAGGAGCCAGGAGCTTCCTCTGAGTCCCCAATGTGGGTGCAGGGGCCCAAAGACTTGGGCCATCTTCCAGTGCTTTCCCAGGCCATAGCAGAGAGCTGCATCAGAAGAGGAGCAACCAGGACTAGAACCGGCGCCATATGGGATGCTGGCACCACAGCTGGAGGACTAACCTGCGCCACGGCGCCAGCCCCCTCTCTACCACTTATGATGATAGCTCTTCTAATTGGAGTGAGGTGATATCTCATTGTGGTTTTGATTTGCATTTTCGTAATTATTGATGAAATTTAACTTTTTTTCATATATCTGTTGGCCACTTGTATGTTTTTCTTTGAAAAAAAGTCTTATTTAATATCTATTCCCCACTTTTTAGTTAAATTATTTGCTGCTTGCTATTGATTCTTTGAGTTCCTTATATGATCTGACTGTTAATCCCTTGTCAGGTGAATAGTTTGCAAATATTTTCTCCTGTTCTGCATGTTGTTTCTTCACTTTATAGTTTTTTTGCTGTGCAGAAACTTTTTAATGTGATGTATTCTCATTTGTCTGTTTTGCTTTTATTGCCTGTGCTTTTGAGGTCTCATCCAAAAAACTCTTTCTCATGTCCTGAAGCATTTCCACTATGCTTTCTTATACTAGTTTCATAGTTTGGAATCTTACATTTAAGTCTTAGATTCATTTTGAGTTGATTTTTGTATATGGTAGAGATAGAAGTCTAGTTTCTTTTTTTTTTTTTTTTTTTTTTTGCATGTGGATATCCAATTTTCCCAGTGCTATTTATTGAAAAGAATATCCTTTCTCCAGTGCATGTTCTTAGCAACTTTGTTACTCATCAGTTGGCTACAGATGTGTGGTTTACTTGTAAACTCTATTCTAGTCCATTGGTCTATTTCTCTGTTTTTGTGTTAATGCCATGCCATATTAATTATTATAGCTTTATATTTTGTTTGGAAGTCAGATGGTGTAATGCCTCTACCTTTATTTTTGCTCAAGACTATTTTAGCTATTCAGGGATATTTTGCGATGCTTTTAAACTTTAGAATTGTTTTCTAGTTCATTGAGAAAGGTCATTGGTATGTTGATAGGGATTTCATTCAATCTGTAGATCCACTTTGGGCAGTACAGAGGTTTTTAAAAAATAATTAATTAATTAATTTGAAAGGCAGAATGACAGAGAGAGAGAGAGATTTTCCATCTGCTGGTTCACTACCCAAATGGCCACAATAGCTGGAGCTGAGCCAGGCCAATGCCAGGAGCCAAAAACTCTGAGTCTCCCATATCGGTGGCAGGAACTCAAGTACTTGAGCGTTCATCTGTTGCTTCCCAGGTGCACTAGCAGAGATCTGGATCAGAAGCAGAGTAGCTGGATGTAAATAGGTACTCCAGTATGGGGTGGTGGTGCCCAGGCAGCAGTTTAACCTGCTATGCCACAGCACCAGCCCCAGAATAGAAATTTTTACAATATTGATTTTTTTTAAATATTTGTTTGCTTATTTGAAAGGCAGAGTTACAGAGAGGCAGAGAGGCAGAGAGAGAGAGAGAGAGAGAGGTCTTCCTTCCACTGGTTCACTCCCCAAATAGCTGCAACAGCCAGAGCTGTGCCAATCCGAAGCCGGGAGCCAGGAGCTTCTTCCACTTCTCCCACTTGGGTGCAGGGGCCCAAGGACTTGGGCCATCTTCTGCTGCTTTCCCAGGTCATAACAGAGAGCTGAATCAGAAGTGGAGCAGCTGGGACTCGAACCAGTCCCCATATAGAATGCTGGCGCCGCAGATGGAAGCTTAGGCCACCGCACCACAGCACTGGCCCCACCAATATTGATTCTTTAAAATGCATAGACAGAGGATGTCTTTCCATTTTGTCATGTGTCTTCAATTTCTTTCACCAATGTTTTATAGTTTTCATTGTAGAGATCTTTCACCTCTTTGGTTAAATTTATTCCTAGGTATTGTATTTTATGTAGTTACTGGAAATTGGATTGCTTTGAATTATTATTGGATTGATTTGAATTATTTATTGGTATATAGCAATTGTACTTCATATGTTGATTTTGTTTCCTGAAGCTTTGCTGAGTTTGTTTATAAGTTGTAATAGTGTTTTGGTGAACCCTTTTGTTTTCCTATATATAAGGTTATGCCGTCTGCAAACAGTGACAATTTGACTTCCTTCTTTCAATTTGGATACTCTTTATTTCTTTCTCTTGCTGGATTTCTCTGGATAAGGCTTCCAGATCTATGTTGAATAAAAGTGAAAGTGGATATCCTTGTTTTGTTTCAGATCTTTGAGAAAAAGCCTTCAATTTTTCCCCATTCAGTATAATGTTTGTTGTTAACTGGTATATGTTGCCTTTATTATACTGAGTTACATTCCTTCTATTTCTCTCTCTCTCTCTCTCTCTCTCTTTCTTTCTTTCTTTCTTTCTTTCTTTCTTTCTTTCTTTCTTTCTTTTAATTTATTTGACAGAAAGAGTTAGACAGTGAGAGAGAGAGACAGAGAGAAAGGTCTTCCTTCTATTGGTTCACTCCCCAAATGGCCGCTTTGGTCGGCGCTGCGCCAATCTGAAGCCAGGAGCCAGGTGCTTCCTCCTGGTCTCCCATGTGGGTGCAGGGTCCAAGCACTTGGGCCATCCTCCACTGCACTCCCGGGCCACAGCAGAGAGCTGGACTGGAAGAGGAGCAACCAGGACTAGAATCCGGTGCCCATATGGGATGCCGGCACTGCAGGCAGAGGATTAACCAAGTGAGCCACGGCACCGGCCCCCCTTCTATTTCTAATTTGTTTTGAGTTCTTATGATGAAGAGATGTTGAATTTTATTAAATGCCTGCTCTGTATCTATTGGGATGATCATATGGTTTTTTTGTACTTCATTCTGTTGATGTGCTGTGTTACATTTATGGACTTACATGTGTCATTCCTGGGATGAATTTCAGTTGGTCCTGGTGAGTAATTTTTTAATGTGCTGTTGGATTTAGTTCATTGATTTTTTTGAGGTCTTTTGGATTTCTGTTTATCAAAGATTGTTGTGTCTTTATTTGGTTTTGGTATAAGAGTAATGCTTGCTTTATCAAATGAGTTTGAAGGATTCCCTCTCTTCTATGTTTTAAAAAAATTCATGAATTGATACTAGTTTTTCTTTGAATATGTGGTAGAATTCATCAGTGAAAAGCTTTTCTTTGGTTCGAGTTTTTTTTTTTTTTTTTTTTTATAACGATTTATTTACTTATTTGAGAGGTAGAGTTACAGACAGACAGAGAGGTCTTCCATCCACTGGTTCACTCCTCCCCAAATGGCTGTAACAGCTGGCACTGGGCTGATAGAAGCCAGGAGCCAAAAGCTTCTTCCAGATCTCCCATGAGGGTACAAAGGCCCAAGAATTTGGGCCATCTTCCACTGCCTTCCCAGGACATCAGTAGGGATGCTGGATTGGATGTGGAGCAGCTAGGACAGGCAGAAGCTTACCATACTGTGCCACAGTGCTGGCCCCCTGGTGGGAGATTTTGTCATTCAGTCTTTCCTCTCACTAAATTGACCCCTTTATTATTATAAAATGACCTTCCTTGTCTCTTTTTACTGCCTTGGTTTAAAGTCTTATTTTATCCGATGTATTTGTATGACTATTCCTGTTTTCTTTTGAATTCCCTTGGCACGGAATATCTTATTCCATCCTTCATTTTTAGTCTCTGTTTTTACTGGTTAAGTGAGTTTCTTCAAGCAGCATATAGTTGGGTTTTCATTTTTTGATCCATTCAGTCACTCTATGTCTTTTACTTGAATGATTTGAACCATTGGTGTTAATTATTAGTAGGTAATATCATATTACTGCCATTTGAGTACTAGCTTCTACACTGCTATCAGCTGGGTGCTACTAATGTAGACTCATAGCCCAAGACCACTGCAGCCTGCCATCAGTGATGCTGGCTGGGACTTGAGTCCCATAGACTGGAGTTATGTGTCTGCATCTGGCACTGGGACAGGTCCATAGGCACCCATCTGTAGGCACCGGTCTGAGGACAGGGAAATTTGGGATCTTCCCAGTGTTGGGTTTTACCAGTCCAGCACTGAGCTCCTAGACACAGTTCTATGCTCACTTTCCTGTCCTAAGTGACTGAGGTCTTACTCTTCCCTTCTTCAAATCTTAGCACAGTTAACACCTTTCCATAAAGCCTACTCTGACTTCCTTGTTTAAAATTGGAACCACTCCTGATTCCTTAGCCTGCTTTATGTTTTGTTCATAGTACTCATCACCTCCAAACATATAATCTGACATATATATTAATTTTATTTATTATTTATGGCCTTTCTTTTCTCACTAGAATGTAAAGTCTACATAACCAAGGATTTTTGACTGTTAGGTTCTCCAATGACTCTCTAGCACCTAGAATGGTGTCTGGTATCTATTAAGTACTAATATAGACAAATTTTTGAAGTATCATTCATCTTTGCATGTAAAAAACCCCTTCTGGTTTGTATCTGGTGATAACATGTCAGACTTGATTGAATGTTAGTAGCCATAAGACACACAGTACAAATAAGAGCTTCTATTTTTATTAAAATTCTTAACCTTATTACTTTTAGACTTGAACTAATTTATGTCAAGTTTTGGTCCATTAGGTCCAGGCTAATATTTTGTATGAGAGGTATTTGCTAGAAATAAACATTTAATAGCTAACTCTGTTAACAGGTTTTCATTTGAGAGGCTTTTGTATTACCACGATTCATTTGTTAGTAGAACAAACAAGGCTATTTGAATTGTGTTTTTAAAGGTATCTTCATGATTCAGGCCCAAATATACTGACTGAAATTAGATTCACAAATACACTTGGAAATTCTATAATAGCCTGCCTCCCTGATTCACTTCTCCCTAGAATTCCTAGACAGAAATATGTTCCATTTACATTCCTGCTTATAGTCAGACCATGCCTAATTCAGCATCTGTGAGAAAGTTATAATGAAAAATTAATTCCATAAATTATTGATTCTTGGATTGAAATGTATATTTCAACCTGAAAGCATAGAATCAATAAAACTACATATTTTATAAAGCTTGCAATGCCATATTTCCACATTAGTTGCAGAATGACAGACTGTTATGAGACTGTGCAAAGAACAGCTTAATACTGGCGTGTGTGTCTGTATGTGGCTTCTGTTTCATAGGCAGCAATAAATCCTCTAATCTACTTAATGGCTTGAATATTTTGATAGATCTATAATAATGAGTTTACTTCAATATTTTTCTCTTACCATCTGTTGCAAAGATTCAACAAACATTTTCTTTTGATGTTCCACTCTGGATGTTCTCTTTGTTTTCTGCTTTACCCTGATATTTTTTACCTTGCTATTGTACCTGTCAAAAGGAAACACACATACACACACACACACACACACGCATGCACACCCACAGAGGCAAATGGACTCATACAAGTCTCATGAAAAAAAAAAGTGGCTATTTTCAAATCTAATCTTTTTCCAGTTTTCTGGAAAAGTGGCACAATGGCATATTCTCAGACTCTTACTATGTTTATAAATTTTTAAAAATAATTGGATTTAAATGATTTATTATTTTGAAAGCTTCAAGCTCATTTTAGTTCAGCCTTAGGTAGTTTTAAAAATAGCTAATTGTTCGACTTTAAAAACTTCCACTTTCAAATAGGTTTAAATGTATATATATGGCTTAACCAAAATAAAACATATTTTGTTTTCTCTTATGTACTATGAAAATTATTTGTACTTCCCTACCCTATCTGTTGTATGGGCCCTCTTCAACTTAATTATCTCATGGTTCTTAGCTGACTTTCATGATAATTCCTTGTGCTTTAACTATAGTTGGTGTAATGTGATTACTGAACATAGCTATAATTCAATGGTGAATTTCTGCAATCCCCCCCGCCACCGGATGTTTAATGACTGGATGGGCATTTACTGATAAATAGCATTGGTGGGCAGTGCCTTGGACAATGCTTGCCTTCGCCATTTTATAATCTCAGGCAGGTACTGTAGGCTGAGGATTAGGTAAATACATGCAGAGCCAGTGAGTAGGAGGCATGGTGCCAACCCACAGCAAGTGTTCAATCCTTATTACCTGTACCTGCTTAGAGCCAGGCTTCAGGCCTAGGGCAGGGGGAGATTCTCCCTCGCCCTCAAATAATTTTAATGGGTGGTGGTGGTAGGAATGAGGAGTCAGGTGAGCAAATGAAAGCTATTTCTGTGCAATGTGGTCCCTGTGGCCACTGGAGGGTATAGATGAAGGACCCAAATTCAGGCCACCTAGTACAGTTGCACAGTGCATGCACTGCAAAATGTCTCCCAGCAAAGACAGCTTGGAAGGAAGTCCATGGATCTCCAGTACATGTGCCTATACTTGGATTTTCCCTAAAGGATACATTTTTCTAATTTGCACAAAGGCTAATGGTGGCCCCGTAGGTGTGGCCCAAACTCAGGCTTGGAATGACAGCTGGAGAAGGTTCCCCTGGGAGGTGTGTTCTTGGGCTTCCGTGAGTTCACTGGCAAGCTTGATCAAGGCCCTCCTGGGTGGAGGGCACGGGACCTGCAGAGCCCTGCACATGAGACTCCTCACCAGGGCAGCAAACCTCCTGGACAGTGAGAGAACAACCCTGCTGCCCATCTCACTTCTCTTTCCTCATCATGACTGTTGAGCATAACGTCCTGCTCGGAGGAAGGGCTGCATGGATGGCAGGTGGACAGACTCAGCAGGATTCAGTAGAGCGCGATACAGGAGCCTGGACTGCTGCACCCCTCCATGGCAAGCTTGTCTGGAACGGCTTTGATGAAGATGAAACAGGCTGGCTTTGAGGCACAGCTATGCCGGCATCCATATGAGTGCTGCTTTGCGTCCTGGATACTCCACTTCAGATCTAGCTTCCTGCTACTCTGGGTGTTGGGGCGGGCTCTCAGCCTGGGGGCCAGCTGCTTGGAGATCCTGGGTGCACACACTTTCCTGAGACCCCATGTGCAGCCCAGTGTTTGGGGGTCGATGGTGACTGCTCTGCATATCCTACACCATGCATTGCTGAGTCTCCCCCTGTACTTGGAAGAGACAGCAGCCACCAATTTCTGCAATTTTTGACATTTTGCAAGATTCTTGTTTTTGGCAAAGGAAACTGCCTTCAGTCCTCAGTCATACTGTAAAAGCAAGATAAGAACTCAATGTGCCAAGGAACAACTAAGTCTAAGAACATAAAAATTCCTAAAACTAAGGTATATGAGCCAGATAAGAAAATTCACACATAGGCTTCTTTACAAAGCTAGTCAGGTTTTTTTTTTCTCATATGGATCTGATATGGAACGAAAAAAGGTAAAAGTACATAATATTTACCTCTTGATTCCCAATTCAGGTCAAGGCTTTGTATTAGTATGAAACTTTGTGGGTATCATTTTTGGCATTGCTTTTGGAGGCAGCCAGAGTTATATTAATCACCTCTTCCTGTCTTCTTCCCTGTACAACCATTATATCCCTGCTTCTATATCCATAGAAAGAAGAGTTCCAAGGAAAGAGGGAGCAGGAATAGGGTGCAGGCTGCATGTTGAGAAAAGCATGGTCCCAAAAATAGCACTGTAGGTAGGGGCGGAGAAAGGATGAACCTGAAGGCAGTGTAAAGCAGAGAATTGGATTTTTCATGTGCTCCGTAATTGCAGAGTAACAGCTGATCAGCCAGTGGGGTAGGATAAGCTAACAGAGCAAAGCTGCAGTAGGTAAAGGCCTAGTAGACATGGGAATTGAACTGTCAACTGTCAACATACATACAGATGGATAGGTGGCAGGACCTAGACAAATATGTACATTTTATCTGTTAATAAACACTAACTCTGAAGACTGTTACTCACAGGAAGGTGAGTAGAAGAACAACAAAAGCTGACACTGAATCTATGGAAAAGGATCATGGAGCTGGCACTGTGGTGTAGTAGGTTAAGCCTCCACCTGCAGCGCCAGCATCCCATATAGGCAGCAGTTCGAGTCTAAGCTGCTCCACTTTCAATTCAGCTCCCTGCTAAATGGCCTGGGAAAGCAGGAGAAGATGGCCCAAGTGCTTGGGCTCCCTTACCCATGTGGGAGATCCAGAAGAAGCTTCTGGCTCCTGGCTTTGGATTGGCCCAGCTCCAACCATTGCAGCCATTTGGGGAGTGAACCAGTGGATGGAAGACCTCTCTCTCTGTCTCTCCCTTTCTCTGTATGTAATTCTGTCTCTCAAATAAATAAAGAAAATCCACAAAGAAGAACATAAAAACAATCTACTGCAGGATCCAAAAGAAAATCTCAATACACTACTGGCATCCTTAATAGAGTTCCAAACACCCACACATGTTTTATAAACATATATCAGTAAAGTCTAAGAAAGATAGGCTGAAAGGGAAAGTTAATATAAGTTCTGAGTGAAATAGGAAGGCTTTCACTGATATAAAAATTTGCAATCACTGAATTAAAATCCGTAATGAAAGAAAGATTTGATTTTAGGGTATTACTGAATCAGTAATGAAGATTACCTGAGGTATTCCACAATTAAGAGAGAAAGATTAGAGCGAGGTGGTAGAAATAGAGGTAGAGAAAGAAAAAAAAATAATATTTGGTGTTCATGAAGAAGCAACCAAGACAAAAGTAAGAAAATCAAATATATGATGAGAAGAATGCTTTCATGAGGAGTGCAAAAGCCCAAAGACGTAGATGGAAAGGAATATAAATGGCAAAATAAATGACAAACACCTATGTCTAGTTATAGTCTGACAGTGTTTTTAAATGACAAATGTCATAAAAGATTACCTACATTTTATTTCCTACAAAAGAAATAAAAGGTGTTATCTAGGAAAATATAAATATCATGGTAGCTTTACACTTCTCTGTTGCCATATGAAATTACAGGAGATAATTATTTAGAGCTATTTTTCTACCAACTGAGAGATAGGAAGCACTGGCAGCGAGCACTAAAATAACTTAAATGAAGACGCAAACCTAAAAAACTCTTAAATGTGGTCATAAAGCTAAATGTAAATGCACTGCATTGATTTATGTACCTCTTCAGAGTCTTTGGACCCCTCAAACTCCTGATCTGAGACTTGCTCTTCTTGATGCAGATAGCTCATGCAACTCCATGAAAGGTTCATGGCGTTCCTGCAGCAATAAGGCCCGCCTGCTTCAACTGCTGTGTTGTCTCCTGATGCCACCAGCTGGGTCAGTCTTTCCAAGTTGGTGTTAGAGGCTAGCTTTGGCATACACTCTATCATACACGCTGCCGTGGATGCTGTAATGGTTCAGTGAGATCAGTAGGGGCCTATATCACCGTCTGGAAGTGTGGGAGAGTTAATTCCTGTAGGGCAAATGAGAGAAGGAAGAGAGGAGTGAGCAGGTAAACTGTTCATCTTTCCTCCCTAATAGACCATTCCAAAATCTAAAGATTCCTTTGGCCTCTCCAGAGATGTCCTGTGTGACTAACCAACAAACTATCTGTAGTTAAGATTGAGGCAACTTAGTGACTTGCCTCTTTGTATTTGCTTCCCATCCCTGTTTTACTTTACTTTTCCCCTAATTCTCCTCTTATACTGGACTCTACAATAAAGCATTAGTTCCACAAGCTTTGCCTTACGCCCTGTTTTCTAAGAAAGTAGGCTAAAACAAAAATCAAAATTATTCATAAAAGAGAACATGCATACGAGCACAAATAGGAATACAACATACTAAACTTACAGGATGCAGAAAAGCAGTGTTGAGGGAAATTGATATCAGTAAATGCATAAATCAAACAAGGAGAAAGAATTTAAATAAAGAATCTAAATAAATGAAGCAAACTAAGCCCAAAGTTAGTAGAAGGAAGGTAATAATACAGATCACAACAGAAATAAATGAAATAGATACTATAAAATTATAAAAGATCAACAAAACTGAGTATTTTTTAAAAAAATTGACAAGCCATTAGCTAGACTCTTAAAAATGGTGAACATGCAAATAAACAAAATCAGGGATGAAAAAGAGAGAACTGATACCACAGAAATTCAGAGTATCATAAAAAACTGTTATGAACAACTACACATCAACAAATTGCAAAACTAAGAAGAAATGCACCAATTTGTGGACATATATAAACTACCTAGATTGAAACATGAAGAAATGGAAAATTTATACAGAACAATAATTAATGACATGATTGAATTAGTAATGAAGAGTCTCCCATCACAGAAAAGCTCAACACTTGATAATTTTACTACTGAAATCTATCAAACATATGAAGAACTAATACCAATAGATAGGTAGGTAGGTAGGTAGGTAGATAGATACATAGATGAAGGTAACTCAAAAACTTAATGGATAGTTACAATTAAAAGATAGTGCATATTTCCACCAACTTTTTGAAGATCCCTCCTATACTTATGCAACACGTAGTTAACAACAAAGGATGTGTTGTAAATTCCAACATAGCTAGGAAAGAGAATTTTGAGTGTTCTCACCACAGAGAAATGATGCATAGTTAAGCTGATGAATATGGTAATTTCCCTCACTTGATTGCTGCACCATGTATACATTTGAAAGGCTGAAAAAGGGGTGGGTGACAGAGAAAGAGAGATATCTCCCATCCATTGATTCATTCCTCAAATGCCTGTAACAGCTGGGGTGGGGCCAGGCTGCAGCCAGGAGCCAGGAAATCAACCCAAGTCTCTCACGGTATAGATCATCACCTGCTGACTCTCAGGGTATGCATTAGCAGGAAGCTGGAGTGGGGAGCACAGCTGGATCTAGAACCCAGGCATTCCAGTATGGGATGCAGGCATCCTAAAACACTACCGAAGTACCATCTGTCTTTTTTTTTTTTTTTTAAGATTTATTTATTTGAAAGTCAGAAAGAGAAGGGAGAGGGAGAGGGAGAAAGAGAGAGAGAGAGACAGAGAGAGAGAGAGAGAATCTTCCATCTGCTGGTTCACTCCCTAACTAGCCACAATGGCCAGAGCTGCGCCCATCCAAAGCCAGGAGCCAGGAGCTTCTTCCAGGTCTCTCACACGAGTACAGGGGCCCAAGCACTTGGGCCATCTTCCACTGCTTTCCCAGGCTATAGCAGAGAGCTGGATTGGAAGTAGAGTAGCCGGGACTTGAACCAGCATCCATATAGGATGCCGGCACTGCAGGCAGCAGCTTTACCCACTATGCCACATGGGTGGCAGGAACTTAGCTACATTAGTCATCACCTCTGCCTCCCAGGGAGCCAAGAGAAGAGGTGGATATTGAACCCGGGTGCTCTGATGAGGGACATGGTACCCTACCAGGTATTGTAACCACTAGGTCAGACACACATGCCTGGTTCTTTTACTAATACCTTTGGCTAAATATGAAAATGGCTAAATATATTTTTGTTGTTTACTAGGTTTTTGCATTTTAATTTTTGTTAAAGTTTTCCCTCAGTTTATCTTCTGTCTTGTCATTCTATTTAAGATATTTTGGACATATTTTAGTTCTAAATTGTAAACAGCAAAATTGTCAATCTTCTATTTTAGTTTCAACTGCTATAGTTTCCTAGGTTTTCTGCTTTCTTATAAGGTTATATTAAAATATCACTCATGTTTTCTTTTTTTAAAGGCTTATTTATTTATTTGAAAGAAAGAGTTAGAGATGGATGGAAGAGAGAAAAGAGAGAGGGAGAGAGAGAGAGAGAGAGAGAGAGAGAGAGAGAGATCTTCCATCTGCTGGTTCACTCCCCAAATAGACACAATGGCCAGAGCTGGGTGGATCTGAAGCCAGGAACTTCATCTGGGTCTCCCACGCGGGTGCAGGGGCCCAAGCACTTGAGCCATCTTCCACTGCTTTCCCAGGCCATAGTAGAGAACTGGATTGGAAGTGGAGCAACCAGGACATGAACTAGTGCCCATATGGGATGCCAGCATGTTAAGCCATGATGCCAGCACCCCCACTCATGCTTTGTTATACTACTCGTCTGATTTTGTTGTTCCAAGTTGAAATCTGGCATGTTTTGTCTTATTTAACCTATTTATATAGATGTACTATGTGACAGTTTTTTCAATATTAAAGCACCTATTATACTAATATACTGCCAGATGTAATCAGAGTTGTGCATTCCTGTGCTGTGATCCAATACTTTTATGCTTTTGCTATCTGTAGTCAGGTTGTAGTGATCACATTATGATGGCTTATTGGATCCGACAGCTTCTTTTCTTTCTGTGTTCTCTGAGATGACTCAGTGACACAAATTAGCACTATTTTGAAAGGTAGAGTTTGAACACTTTCTGAATTCCTTCCAAGGTTGATAATCCATGTAAATTTTCTGAATCCACGTTGGTAATTTATATTTTGATACAAGTCATTCACTTTGTGGAGATTTTCAACTGCATTTTTATGTTTGTGCAAAATACTATATTATTATGTTAACTTCTGTTATTTCCTCTCTTATTTTGTGTATTTATGCTTTATTTCCATTAAGCTAGCAAAGGTTATTTTGTTTTTAAGGATCAACTCTTAGATTTATTTGTTCTACTCTTTCTTTTTCCAATTAAGTCCCCTATTATTTGTTAATTCTTTCTTCTTTCTTTTAATTCAACTGGATGTTATTTTCTAATTTCTCCAATATGCGATTTTCTCTATGATTTACTCTAAATTGGAGAACTACAAGAACATAGTTTATTGGGGCCAGCATTATGGTGTAGTGGGTAAAGCTAGCACCTGGAGTGCCGGCATACCATATGGATGCCAGTTCAAGTCCCAGCTGTGAGAGACCTGAGCCTGGATCAAGGTGCAGCTATTTTAAAATAGACCTCCATCTTGTAACTCGGGCCTGACTGGGCCCTGAACCCTACGCCAAAAGCTCCTGAAAAAAGAAAAATAAATCCCCCCTTGCGATAAGCTCCCCTAGCATCAGCCAATCAGCAGAGAGCAGGGAAATACCTAAAGTTCCAGGTGTCTTTTCAGGTAGTTAAGGTGATTGATAACATCCCGAGACCCTGCAGTTTGGTACACACACCCTAGCAGCTTGGACCCTATACTTTAGCCAATCATTTTAAAAAGCATCAACCCCAAAAGCCATCCAATCACCTTTACTAGCTCCATTCCCACTGCTGGCTGCACTGATCAATTTTTAGAGATGTTCTTTGAATTTCCCATGGAATGAGATGATTTGTTGAAAAGTGTTATAATGTATAGAATGTCTCTGAAAACCCTATAAAAACCCCATTCACTGAAGAGTTGGGGCTCTCAACCAGACTCGGACCTGCAATAAAACTCTTAAGTGTTTCACAGTGGATTTGGCTCCTTGGTGGTCTTTGGGGACAATGGAAATGGGCATAACAGCTGCTCCACTTCTGATCCAACTCTCTTCTATGGCCTTGGAAAGCAGTAGAAGATGGCCCAACTCCTTGGGCCAAGAGGGCTGGCACAGTGGCTCACTTAGTTAATCCTCTGCCTGTGGGCACCGGGTTCTAGTCCCAGTTGCTCCTCTTCCAGTCCAGCTCTCAGCTGTGGCCTGGGAAAACAGTGGAGGATGGCCCAAGTCCTTGGGCCCCTGCACCCGCATGTGAGACCAGGAGGAAGCACCTGGCTCCTGGCTTCAGACTGGCGTAACTCTGGCTGTAGTGGCCATTTGGGGGGTGAACCAATGGGAGGAAGACCTTTCTCTCTGTCTGTCTGTCTGTCTCTCTTTCACTGTCTAACTCTATCGAATAAAAAAAAAAGCAGTTGAAAGAAAAACTTTTGACATTTTAAATTTAGCAGAGTTTATTTGAGCAAATTCATGAATTGCACAGTACTCAAACTCAGAATAGGTTCAGCCAGCTCAGCTCTGCAATGGGGATTATTTATAGCCAGAAAAGGGCAATAAAGTACAGAAATAGCTTCACCAGCTGCAGCTCCACCCTTTGTCTTATTAGAACATGGTCTGATCAATTGGCAGCTTGAGATTGGCTGAGGATTGGCTGTTCATGATTGGTGGACACTGAGCTGCTTGTTCTACCCCTAAGGGAGGCTTTCAGTTTGTTATCTACTGGGTTAGATTGTAGTTTCCTATGTAGGAACTGAAGATATGAAGACAGCCTCAGGTCCATGGCCTCTTGCTTATTTATCAAAGCAGAGCATGTATATTTTTGAGACCTGACTGTATATACATAAAAGGACCATTTTGTAAGAGTGTTAGACATCTTCTTTTCCAAGCATGTGATTATTTAAATGCAGATATAGTTCAATTGCAATTTTTAAAACTTATCTTTCTTTCCAGGATCTAAGATTGAGATGACATAGAAGGAGAAGAGGTAAACCCCAGTATACTTTATGTGAAAACCCTTTTAGGGAAAAATGTTATATCTTCGCATAAAACTAACA